CAGCCCTAAAGGCCATGGCACATAAAAAAATTTAAGGCGTAAGACTTAAGCAGTAAGCGAATCGACCAATCACAATAGAGACCGTAAGACCATATGTAAGCAATGGCGAATCCAACATGTTGATTTCGTTACTGCTTAAGTCTTACTTAAGTTTTTCTATGTGCCAAGGTCTTAACTACTAATGATCTTTTCGGATTAAGAGACCTCGAGATTTCAAGATTGAATGCACCGATTTTAATTGGACTGGTTACAATCGAAAACTCATACTTCAAATACATCATAAAATTATCATTAGATTTTTTTATTACGGAATTAGTTTCTAAGATATTTTAATCGAAATAAATTTTAACGAAAGAATTCTGGATAAGCTTGGTAGCGCGCCGCGACATTTGTTTACGCAGTAACATTCGCGTAAATTTCTTATGTACTTGGTGTCGCACCGCTACTTCGTCGCTTGATCTATTTAAAATAAAAATTTTGTATTATAGAATACTTCAAAATTATATAACATACTATTCCTGTTGTTTAAAAAAATACTTTATTATACTTTAAAAGCAACCATTTAAATTAAAATTAAAATTTTATTATTAATATTATAGTATAATTAAAAGAATTTTTTAGTGATCATCATATATCATGTATCCAATTTCAACAAGGAAGATATTCTAAGATTGCAGGATTACGTTACAGCCTTACAATAAGTACTTAATAAAGCATCGTAACAAAAATTCTCAAAAATCGTATATAAATTTTCTCGAATATATAAATTGTTTTTCGTAATTTATGATTACCCCAATATAAATTCCAATCATTCTCCGGACCCACTTGCAACCGCGTTCTTAAAGTTATGTACAGATTTATCCGCTTTCATATAAAATATAATCCTTATCCAATCCATCTTAATTGATGGCATTTTATATTCATGTAATTAATTTTTTAATCGCAATCGTGCACGAATCAGAGTGAACTTTCAAGGCGTTTTGATCAGAATTTAAAATTCAGAATTAAAAATCTTTTTTTTTTTAAACAAAACGTCGCATTTTTTTTAAAATGTATTTTTAATGTTTTGAATATGTTTTAAACAATATTTAAAAAGCATGTTTAAAACAAAAAAACGTATTGTTTTGATCTTTAAAAAAATACATAATTCATGTTGACATAATAACGTAATTCATTCTTAGATTATTTTTAATATAAATGTTTTAAACATACAATGCTGATTTAGTGGTTCTAGTCAAAAAATATGAACAAACTAAGACCGGCATAAACAAACTAAGACCGGCATAAACGAATCAAAATGACAAACTTTTTTAAGGAATAAATTAAACCGTTATTTGACTATAAGTGCTCTTGATATCTCAAAGAAAAAAATGCGCTGGGTACAAACGACCAATTTATTTGCTATGAACAGCAAACAAATTTGACAATTAAATTTTGCAAGCCTTTTGCATTCACATACAAATAACAAAATTATCTTTTTCCGTGAAGACAGTAAATATAAAATCGCGCTTGCTAATGATCGCACTTTAATATAAACCCAAACAATACGAAGTCGACTTGATTATAAGTTGACTGGAGAAAGAGTCGACTTTATAGTCAGCCTAAATGTCGACTGATAGTCGACTAATACTTGACGAATGTCCTTAAAACAGTCGACTGTCAGTCGACTTTCCAAGTCGATTGTAAGTTGACTGTAAATCGACTTACAGTCGATTATAAATTGACTAAAGAAGTCAAGAGTCGACAGAATGTCGGATAATAGTCGTCGAAAATACGAAGTTTTTGCAATACCGTTTATCCAGATATGATGAACGCTAAGGTCAAATTATATTTTTCTTAACAAAAATTATATTTTTCTAATTAAGAAAAGGATAACATTACTTTAGCGTTCACCGTATTTGGATTCACGTTATTGTAAAAACTCCCTATAATGAAAACAATCTGAAAACAATCTATTATTAATCGAACTAATAAAAATTGACAAGTTACCGAATAATCAACTTTTGGATGGTTAATGTTCTACACTTTTTTGTTAACTTATTTAGGCATTGCGATAACTAAAAGATATTTTATGGTCATCAATACCCAATAAGTTGACAAAAAAATGGAACGTAAACTAAAGGTGCAACTCATAGAGTGATCTGATATCTGAGAAGAAGCTCTTTTTGGAGCTCGCTCTAACTCGAGGGAGAAAATGTTGGTTCCGTGGAGCCCTACTTCTTTATAGTAGCGCTGGACTAATCTTGAATATGGGCTAATGCTCCGCCGCGTGGCTCTCACGCGGCGGCAGTCGAAATTTGCACCGACTTATAGTTGACTAAAATATAGTTGACTAACAATCGACCGAGCTTAGTTGACTTTCAGTCAACTTTCAGAAGTCTAATAATCAGCAAATAGTCGACTGCTGTCGACTATAAGGCGGCTGTTGAAAATCGACTAACGATAAGTCAACTAAGAACAGCCAACTGACAGTTGACTTTTCATATTCGACTGTAAGTAGACTGAGAAAAGTTGACTGTAAGTCGGAAAACAGTCATTCGTGTTGTGTGAGAAGCTATATTTACTATCTCTCTTATTAAAAGACTTTATTAAGAAATTTTTACATTCTGTAAACAATATGATTTGACTTTACAATAAATAACCTTCTGCCTCAATAATACATGCCATTAGTACATTATTCAGTCAGAACAGCAAGTCATTAAAAAAATAGTTACGAAATGATTGTTAAAAGTCAGTTTTGATATTAAAAGGCATGGTTCATCTTAATATACTGTTTTTAATCATTTTGACCTATTGTCCTACTTAAGTTATTGACCGCTATTTTATACATTATTCATATATGAATTGAAATTTTCATTTTCGAAACATGGACCTTCAATTCTACATACATATATCTCGATGAGAATACTTTATATTCTCCTTCTCTTTTCCTTTTTTCTCTGTCTCTCTTAAACGGAAATGCTTTAAATTACAACATAGAAGCAAAAACTTAAAAAGACATATACTATCAACTAAAAGTTTAGAATCACCTATAAAATTTAGAAATATTCTAGTTAATTCTGTTTAAAAATACGATTTACGTTTTACTCAATATTTTTTCTTAATTTAAAAGGAATAGAAATTATATTTAGCATAGTTATAATCTTATAGGCATATTTAATATAATATAATAATATAATATTATTTAAAATTAAATAATATTTTTGAAATATTAATGGATGGTATATGTCCACTCTCCTGATAATATTACATGATTATTAAAAGTAACATTATTTAGTGTTACTGTAATATTGTATGAACAAAAATGTTAAAAAGTATTATAACAATATTTACTTTAATTTGTAAAACTGTTACACCGATTCAGTTTAAATATATGTTTAAAGATCGAAAATAATTTTGGCGTGCAGTTGTAAGACTGGATATGTATGTAAAATAACATCGAAACGTTATTTAAACACAAGACGCAGCATATATTGATAAGACATTTTCGTTACTGAATTGTGAATTTAACTGCACTAATATAAAAATAATTTATATTAATAAATATTTTAATAAGATTTCAGGAATGTTAAAGAAAATATATATATACCAAGGATATTTATATAAGTGAACATATAACATCCATAGAATACTCATAATATTACAAAATATTATACAATGTTCTCAAAATATTATAATAACTAATTTTTATTTTTTAATAATATTTATATAACATTCTAGGAATATTTTGCGCCTATAGGGAATTAACATAGCATTGTCTAATCTCGAAAAAATAGATGGTCATAAAGAGTTTCTTTCATAACTTAGCTATGGATTATTTTTTAAGATAGACATCCCAGTAAGCAAGAAACAATTTGAAACATTTCAACAAAATTGTAGCAACATTGTAACATTGTTACAATGTTACTGAAATGTTCCAAAATGTTTCTTGCTTACTGTGGTAATATGTATAGAGTGCGTTCCATTTGGCGCTTACAACATTTGCATGCATCATTTATCCTTGTTTAATATTTCATCAACAACAAGAATGTAATGATTCCAAAAGCGTTGCAAATGTCAAGTAGAACGCAATCATAAAAATCTCTCATCGGAAAAAATTAATATACATGTAGCTAAATTGTTTAAATTAAATAGTAAAAAGAGCTAATCAAATAAGGATAATTACTTATACAAAAAAATGTATTGTTTTTAACCGGCAAATGGCGTTCAGACCGCAAAAATAATTAAATCGCTCAAAACAAAATAATTAAATCACTTAAGATGTAATTCTTGTCTGAACAAACCTTGCTTGGGTCACAGTATAGGTCAGACGGCGCGTAAGTTTCCCCGGTATAAACGTATGCAACACTAATAGTCAACGTTTTAATATTACAACAGTCATTTGAGTTTATATAAAAAGTGACTGTCGTTAAAATTTTAAACACATTTCTCATCTGCAACTCAAACGATACTATAGCAATATTATAAATCTCAGAATCAGGTATGATTGATAGCATAAATAAAAAAAACAATCACATAAGATACACATAACATTTTTCTAGATTATCTGAGAAAATAATAAAAACCATGGATGGCAAAGAAGCATATAGACCGTGGAATGATATTGATTCCGGCGAGGAGATCGTTATATCTGGTATTGCTGGCAGATTTCCTGGTTCAGATAACATGAATCATTTACGAGAAAACTTATTCAATAAAATTGATCTCGTTAAAGCAGATCATGGCCGATGGGAAAAAGGTAAAAATTCAAATTCATAGTTACACGTTATATTATTACATTTGTGTATGATTGGTTGAAATAGAATATACCACTTTTTCTGTGCTAAATGTAATTACATACTTATTTGTTAAAGAAGTGTATTCCAAACTAAAATTCCATCTAAAAAGATATGAAGAAGGAACATAACATCTTTATGTGAAAACATCTATCTTTCATTAGAGCATCCAGACTTACCAATGCGTATGGGAATAATTAACAACTTAGAAAAATTTGATGCGGATTTCTTTGGATTATCTTTCAAGCAAGCACACGTACTTATGCCCGAAGGGAGAATGTTACTGGAACATTCTTATGAAGCAATTATCGATGCAGGAATTAATCCAAAGCAATTACGAGGGAAAAATACTGCTGTGATCATAGGCACATCTTATATTGAAGGACAAGAGAAATTTCTATATGAGAATTATCAGGTAAAAAAATTATTGGTACATGTATACAAGGCGAATAACAATCGTACAATTACGAGAAGAGTTGATTGACAAACTCTTTTTTTTTAACTCATAAAAATCATACAATTCCAATGAAGAGAACAAAGATAATGATCATCTTTGAAGTTACTCAATTTAGAAAAAATTAATTTTATCATAGAATGTTATTTTTGATATTAAACGGACTATAGCAAATAAAAATGTTATATTCCGTTTAATATTAAAAATAACATTCACTAATATTATTAATGATTCATCCTGTATAAGTAAAGTGGAGATTACTAAATTTATAAACAAAGATTAAAAAATGAGCATACAGCCAATACGCCGGTTGTTTGTTGCGATGTAATATATTTAAAATGATCTTTACAAATTGAAAATCATAAACGTTTCGGCCGATATTCGGCCTTCATCAGTATATATGATATATGTTCTACTACACAATTATTAAGTCGGAAATTAAGTAAAAAATTCAATTTAAATAAAAGAATAAATCTCAATCCATTATAATATGCGATGGATTATTCAGGATGGAAGAAACTTTAGTGTTTTGAGAAAACACAAAAATTTCTATTAACAAGTAACGTACTAAAGTTTCTTCCATCCTGAATAATTCAAATTAATTTATAAAGACTGAAAAAAAAGTGTTGGTGAACTATTGTAACTCCTATTACATACGAGTAAAGAACTTTGTAATTCCTTACGACGTAGTAATTTGCAATTGAAAGCGAACCAATATTAATAGTCACACTAATATCAATTATGTCACAAGAACTTCGAATTCATACATTCAACTTGTTATATTTAATGACCATCGCATATTATAATGGACCGAGATTTATTCTCTTATTTAAATTGAATTTTTTACTTAATTTCTCCGACTTAATACTTGTATAGTAGTAGAACATACTGATGAAGGCCGAATATCGGCCGAAACGTTAATGAATTTCAATTTGTAAAAATCATTTTAAATATATTACATCGCAACAAACAACCAGCATATTGGCTGTATGCTCCTTTTTTAATCGTTGTTTATAAATTTTTAGTCATTATTAACCTCTAAGTTGTACTAAATTTATAATTCATATGCGAAAATTGTAAACGTTAATGTTTTGTGTAAATAGTTAGACGATTTTCAAATCATTGGATGTAGCAAATCTACAATGGCAAATGTGATTTCGTACTACTTGGATTTAAAAGGACCATCTTATACCGTCGATGCAGCATGTAGTACTAGTCTTTATGCCATGGCCCTTGGTTATCATTGTATTATGTCGGGAAAATGTGAAGACGCGATAATTGGAGCTGGAAATCTATGTTTGCATCCGATTATTAGTCTGCAATACGCTCGTCTTGGTATTTTTATAATTTATTAATTTTAATATTTTTACTTAAAACTTAATAGTCTACTTACTAATACGCTAGACGTAAAATTTAGTGGTGCATTATTTTGCACGTCTCTAATTCACAAAAAAAATAAATTTTAACGAGTTGCGTAACCTCGATAAAACATTTGTAACAAGATATTTTTCAAAATAGAATATTACTTTATAGAGAATAAAACTGATAATCATTAAATTTTTTAAATATAAGTTAATTTAATAATGTGAATGCGAAATACATAAAAAATGCGAAATATATTTAAAAATATATACTTATATTCATATGCATATTTATATCCATATATATAATATATTACAAGATTTTATATTATGCAGGTGTTTTATCACCTGAGGGCTATTGCAGACCTTTCGATTCTAATGGAAACGGTTATTCGCGTAGCGAAGCAGTGGCAGTAGTATACCTTCAAAAGGCAAAAAGTGCGAAGAGAATTTATGCTATATGTCCGCATATAAAATTAAACAGTGACGGTTACAAAGAAACAGGAATAACATATCCATCCTCGCTAATGCAAAGTACTTTACTAAAGGAATGTTACAATGAATGCGGAATACTAACATCTTGCTTGGATTACATTGAAACACATGGTACCGGTACCAAAGTTGGCGATCCACAGGAAGTCACTGCTATCTATAACAGTTTGTGTAAAAATAGAGAAACTCCATTAATGATCGGCTCCGTAAAATCCAATCTTGGTCATGGTGAACCTGCAAGTGCTTTTATTCAAATCGCTAAGGTAAAACAAGTGTGGCTGCCATTTTTATTTATTACTATAAAATTTGCTTTTATTTTACGCACAGTAATTTTTCAATCACATACATGTATATGTATATGTACAAATAAAAGACTTATTCTTTTGTAAAAATTATTCGGTAAGTCAAAATATTGGCTGCGTTCCACTTAACGCTCGTGGAATCATTTTATCGTTGTCATTTATCGAATATTAAACAAGGACAAACGATGCTCGCCAGCGTTGTGAGCGTTAAGTGAAACGCGGCCATTGTATACAGGATGTCCCATTTTAATCAATCACCTCAAATATCTCTTGAACAGTGCATTTTAAGAAAAAATGTTTCAGACAAAAATTTTAGGATTTTGGAGGGGACATAAAATGGTGCCATTGGTTTGATTTTGGGTGGCGTCGTGAAGGTCAGGGCAAGTTCACTTTGAATTTTTTAAAGGGAACTCCCCATTTTTCATTACGTATTCTTGTATCTTACCTCGAGAGCTTTCCAAAACACTATAATTATTAAATATATTAATACATAAATATTCATGATGGAGCGTATAACTCTTGCCTGCCGTAGCATTTCAAGAAATATATTTTTATCGACAGTTGACAGTTTTGAACGTCGAGTTCAATTATGTGTGGATAATAATGGACAGATATTCGAACACTTATTAAGATACACTCATAATCATTTCACATGAAAACTAGATTCTGATATGAATCGATCGGATCAGTCCCGATCTTGCTTTAATCGGCCGGATCAGCCCCGATCTTGCTTTAATCGGCCGGATCAGTCCCGATCTTGCTTTATAACTTAACTAGTACTTAACGAAAAGTAACTTAATTATAGTGTTTTGGAAAGCTCTCGAGATGAGCTGTAAAAATGTGCAATGAGAAATAAGGGGTTCCATTTAAAAAATTAAAGGTAACCTTCACGTGACCTTCAGAGGACTATCCAAGGTCAAATCGATGGCACCATCTTATGTCCCCCTTCGAGTCAAACAACTTTTGTCTGAAACATTTTTGTCTACTAGGTTTAGTTTTCGAGATATTTGGCTAGATCATTTAAAATGGGACACCCTGTATATTATATTATTCAATAATTTTAACAATTTATTTCTACCAGTATTTATACATATTCATGTATGAAAAATTTTTTACCTGGAATTGATTTCGGACTAATACAAAAAACCAATTTCGCTATTCCTTAATGTGAAAGAGAATAATAACATTTATATATAATATTAGAAAGCGTAAAGAAAATTATTAAAATAATAAACTATTATATTATAAAACACGAACAACACATGTGATACTATTTTTCAAGTTTTTTATCTCTGTATAATTGTGCAAAGTGTGTAATATACCAGGTACGTAAATATGAAACCGGTATTTTTCAATAGAAAATACACGTTTATTGCACGAAAATGATAAAAAATATTTTATTCGAAGTATTGCCCATCGCTAGCAATACATTTTTCCCACCTGTCTGACAATTTGTGGATGCTACGCCAAAAAAATTGTTGCTCTTTTGAGCCAAACCAGTCATCTAGCCATTTTCGTACATCTTCGTAAGAAGTGAAGCGCTGCTGAGCAAGTGCGTGTCTCATCGATGCAAATAAGTAGTAATCGGACGAAGTCAAGTCTGGTGAGTAAGCCGCATGCGAAAGTATTTCCCAACCAAACACCTCAATCGTTTCCTTGACCAGTTTTGCTGTGTGTGATGGTGCATTATCATGAAGCAAAATCACTTTGTGTTGCCTTTTTTGATATTCCGGTCGTTTTTCACGCAAAGCTTGATTCAAATTGATCATTTGTTGTCGGTAGCGTTCAGTATTAACGGTTTCGCCAGGTTTTAGCAGCTCATAATAGATCACACCTTTCTGATCCCACCAAACACAGAGCATTGTCTTCCGTCCAAAGCGATTTGGCCTTGCAGTCGATGTCGATGGTTCGCCTGGAGTTACCCATGGTCTTTTACGATTAAGATTCTCAAAATATATCCACTTTTCATCGCCAGTCACAATTCGATGAAGAAATGACTTTCTTTTGTACCTGGCGAGCAGTATTTCGCAAGTGGTTTTTCGGTTTTCCTGCTGTCTTTCATTCAGTTCATGTGGAACCCATTTTCCCATCTTCTGGATCTTTCCCATGGATTTCAAACGTATGGAGACGGCTTCTCGTGTCACATTCAATTGATCCGCGAGTTGTTGTTAAGTTGGAGCGTCATCCTCATCCAACAATGCTTGTAATTCGCTGTCTTCAAACTTTTTCCACGGTGGTTTTCTACGTTCTTCGTTTCTCACGTCAAAATCGCCACTTTTGAATTTTTTAAACCACTCAAAGCACTGTGATTTACCAAGAGCATACTCACCGTAAGCTTCGACGAACATTCGATGCGATTCTGCAGCAGTTTTCTTCAAATGGTAACAGAAAATCAATGCTGTCCGCAAATCGTAGTTTCCAGGCACAAAATTCGACATGTTCAACGCTATTACAAACTATACTGTTATATGAAACTTGTATTGTTGTGAGTTGAAAATCTTTGTCAGATGTTAGAACAAGGAAATGACGCGGTCTGACGGCAACTACATTGACAACTATGGCCATCTATTGGTAAATTCCGGTTTCATATTTACATACCTGATACATATTTACGCTTATTTTCAGATGCATATTATACTCAGGCCTATACACAATCATTTTTAATATAAACAAATATTATAATTTTTTAAATCAAACTTTGTTTAACTCAGAATTAATGACAACAGAATGTAGTCAGTATGTAAATGTATTAAGATCAACACTATGCTTTCATATGTGTATAGGTTATTTTACATTCACTATACTATATAAGTGCAAACCAATAGTTAAATAATAAATATACGTTCTCTTTGTCACGAAACAAAATATTCAATAGTTGTATACGAGAGTTGTTCAATAAGTTTGGTAAATCTTTATAAAATGGTGTATGTATATATATTTGTGTTCTTTCCCTCAGGATTACATATTATTTACATATTTACATCTACTTCTCATATTAACTACTCTAACTTAACCTAACTTAAATTATTCCGCCCCTTCCCCTCTCTCTCTCTCACGCGGGCGCTCTCACTCTCGCTCTCTCTCTCTCTCTCTCCCCCGCCCACTCATATACGCTCGCACGCTCTACCCTTTCCGCTTATTCCCTATGCCCTTCCGTTTCCGTTTACATTTTATTTTGTTTGCCTTTCATTACTCTCTCTTTCATCCACTCACTCATTCACTCACTCTCTCCCTCCTCCATTCTCCCCTCCCCTCTCACTCTCCTCCTCACCTCCTCCACTTCTCTCATCCATCCCTCTCCCTCTCCCCCCAGAATCCTATTACATGTTTCCTGCCAATTCTCCCCCCCCCATCTTTCCAACTACTGCATTCCTCCCAGACATGCTCCCAAGTCTCCCTTTGCCCTCCGCATAATCAGCACACATCCTCCTACTCTCCTCCTCCCAATACCTCCCTTCCAACATCTCATTTCCCAGCCTAAACCTCGCTATTCTCTGCCATCTACTTTCCCCCATCCTTTCTCCAAATATTTTTTCCTCCTCCTTTACCCACCTATACCATCTGCTAAATCTCGATTCCCTTATCCATTCCCATCTTTCTTCCTTCTGTCTGCCCTTTTCCCTAATTCCTCGTACTTTCTATCTCCCTCTCTTTCCTGTCTCTCCCACTTCTGTATCTCCATTCGTCTATCGTTAAAAAACTTTCCCCTCTCCCTCTCTCATTTCGACACATCTCTTCCCCTTAGTGCCCTCTCTTTCCTACATGCACATGCTAATTCGCTTCCCTTCCCCATGTCCAGTCTTTCTTCAAAACCCCATGCCCTCCTCCCCGTTTTGCTTCTCATCATTTCTCTGTATTTTTTCCCTTACTAAATACCCCGGTGTCCTCCCTTCTATCCCCAACACTCATTTTAAAAACCTTTCCTGCATTTTTTCTATTCCCTCCCTTTCTTTCTAGCCCCATATCTCCACTTCATACCCATCACTGTCCATACTAATGTGTCAAACATCCACACCCTTCTTCTCCAATTCTCGCCAAATCTCCTCTTCCCCATACCTGCTCCATTATTGTCGCTGCTTTCGCTATCTTCTCTCTTATATGTTTTTCCTGTCCTCCATTCCTTTGAAAAATATATCCTAGATATTTATATTCTTTCACCTCTTCTCAGTCTTCTTCCCTTTCCACCACCAACTTAGCCTACTTACCCCCTTTCCTTCTTTGAACCTTAGCACCTCGAGTATATTCTCTTCTCTCCTAGCCTTATCCCCAGGAGAGGATAATAGAGGGAAGAATTAAGTATGGAAAGGAGAAGTTAAGGACAGTAGGGATATTGTATATGTGAATGGGGATATAGAAAGAAAACTAGAGCTGTTAGGAAGATAGATGGAGGGAAGAGAAGGGGGAATGGGCATTCAGGAGAGGGGATGGTCGATATTAAATGGGGGTCACAATAAACAATATAGGATAGATACGTGGTACGAATGTAAAACAATATAATTATAAAGGCATATGACCACGAACGCCTGATATCGTTGGCTTAAAATTATTATATTTGATAATGTACAATTAATAGACGTTTCGGTCTTCAATGAGACCTTCTTCAGTATTCATATAAATTAAAAGTAATACCCATAATTATAACTTAATTTAAGACTTAAAATTAAATTCTTAACAAATATCAGTATTATTTTTTTCCTATTACAAAAATTCGTCAATACTTTACTCGCAAAAGTTTTTTTTTCCCTCTTATCTTTCCTTACTAGATGTGATTTTTATTCTCCTTTAAACGCAATAGTTCCATACCAGTTTGTTAGTCTGAGCAGATCTTGAAATGTAACCACGAGCAATTGTATAAGCAAATTCTCTTGATGTATGTCCACACAAAAGTTCCAGTTTCTGTGTCGAAGAAGAGATAATTTGCAATCAAGAACGTGGAAAACTCATGTGATACCAACTAATGCTAAAAACGTTATATTTATATATAACGTTATATTTATATTTATATATTTATATATATATCTGCTGTAACGTCATAATCAAGTTTGCTGGCATACTGCTAGCATTTTGCTATCTGAGTATACGTTATAAAATGGTGTAACAATCCATTTGATGACGTGACGCTTAATTTCTCGCTCGCTTTAAACAACTACCAAACGTGAACAACGCATCAATTCTGGTTGAAATTTGACCTGGAAGAGTTCGAAGAATGATACTTTCCAGGTGTCACGTCAAAAAGATTTACTCATAAAGATTTACCAGACTTATCTAATGACCAACGTAGTATTACATATAAATTTTATATGATATTTTCAAAAATTGTCTACACTTTTATCAATTTTCTACATTTCTCGGTATTAAAAATGTTATTTTTCTCTTTTATATATCTACTTCTAAGAAACACTGTGGAATTTATTTTTTATAAATAATGGTCATTTTTACATCCTTCTTTATATTATAAACGATCTAAATGTTAAGATGTTGAACTATTATACATATATTCATTTAAATGAATTAATTTCAGAAATTATACAATAATTGTGTGCCAATAAGTCGAACTTTCAACGCAATCAATCTGAAATATTAATATTAGGTGTTAAAACTTAATTCCTGCCGTTTTTCGTCTCCAAAATTGATTTGTTTCGAAGGGAAGATGAATGAATACCTTAATTAAGGTAATTTCCTCCATTTCCTACTTTATTACTAATTAATAATACTTTATTAATAATACTTTGATTAAGGTATTTCCCTTCGAAACAAATCAATTTTAGAGACGAAAAACGGCAGGAATTAAGTTTAACACCTAATAATTCCCCCAAATTTCCCAAATTTAATCTGAAAAAACTATAATAAACTTATTGCGAAAAATATTGCCTCGGCTGGGAATCGAATCCGGATCTCTTGCATTCCGTGCGAGCGTCCTAAGCCTTTAGATCACTGAGACTTTTTGAAGATTAAATTTGGGAAATTTGGGGGGATTATTAATATTTCAGATTGATTGCGTTGAAAGTCCGACAATCATATCGGCACACAATAATCATTTCTGAAATTAATTCATTTAAATGAATATATATAATAGTTCAACATCTTAACATTCAGACCGTAGTGGCGCTTCGTATTTAAAGTAATGTTTCTAACATAAACGGTCTTAATTCTAATCTTGTTATTGTTTATATTATAAAATTAATTTATTTCTTGAAGACAGTAATAGCCTTTGAAACCGGTTTTGTTCCACCAAACATCAATTATATATCACCACGAGATGATATAAATGCCTTAAAAAATGGAAAAATCTGTGTTGTCCAAGAACCAATGCCAATTATAAACGGTTATATAGGAATAAATTCTTTCGGTTTTGGAGGAGCCAACGCTCATATGTTATTAAAGTGGAATCGTAAACAGAAAGTTAATAATGGAGCACCGAATGATAACTTACCTAGACTTGTAATATTATCTGGACGCACTGAAGAATCAGTGAAGTTGTTTTTAAACGATGTTAGTAGACATTTAAAAAGTTCATTTAAGACCTTCAAATATTAAAAACATTATATCGTAATTTTTATTTCAAGAAATTTATCGTTATAGGTTGCTAATCGTCCAATAGATGTAGAATACATCCGTTTATTACATGACATCTATGCAGACAATCTAGACGGTCACTCATGGAGAGGGTACATAATACTCAATTCTTTCCAACAAAATTCAATAAAGGAAATTCAAAATTGTAATAGCATGAAGAGACCCATCTGCTTCGTATTTTCAGCTTTAGGTTCACAGTGGCCAGGAATGGGTATATATTTAATATTCTATAATTTGTTTATAAGGGGATTTAAATAAAATAATTTAACTTTTTAATTAAAATTTTATCAGGACGAAACTTATTAAAATTTCGCGTTTTTGCAAAAACAATAAAAAGATGCGACGATATTTTAAAACCGTATAATATAAATGTCAAGAACATTTTGATAAATACAGAAATATGCGAAAACGCATTAAACGCGTTTCTTGGAATCATTGCTATTCAGGTATAGTATTATATTTTACAGAGGTACACGTTCCCACATAGCAATTTATCTGACCAAATTAGGATATCCTAATTTGATCAGATTGATCCCATTCTGATCCAAAACATTAAATCATCCGATTACCTTAGGATATTTGTAATTATCATTGTACTAATATAAAACGTCCCTAGGATATCATATTTTGATCCGATAAAATTTTGATCACTTATATTGATAAATTGTATTTTTCAACTTCCGACACATATATGTTATATTCATTTTACATGTTATATACATTTTACATGTTATGTATTTTACGTATATTATAGAGACATATCTTTGCAATTTAATTATTAATTTTTTAACAATGTTTATAAATATCCCACACAACATACTGAAAACTACCCTTTGTTTCGGGAAAAATTTAATTATATTTATCTTTATATATTATTGTTAAGGTTATTAATTTGACAGTTGCAGCTATAGCTTATTTCGTTTTTTGTTGTACATAATTTATTTTTAAATTGGTATATGAATTATTTATTAATTGACAAAGCGAAAGGAGTTTTTGGTATATTTTACAAAATTGGTCTTATCGATTATAAGTACTGTTTTAATGAAAATTTTCCATTTTACTAATTAAACTAACTATGAATAACTATATTTAAAAAAGTACTTTCAGAGGCTCCATGAGCACACTCTGATCAAGCTAAGAGTAAGTGACGAACTCCATTCGCTATAGGCGTACGTATACTACGGGCGCCGCGGCGCCGCCAAGCAAGCGGCGTAGTACGCAGTATCGCCGCGAGATGGGCTCGTTTTTCGTAAGGAAAAAATGACGCAGATCTCTATAAAGACGCGTATGCGAATGGAATTCGTCACTTACTCTTAGCTTAATCAGAGTGTGCCTCATGGAGCCTCTGAAAATACTTTTTTTGAATATAATTATTTATAAATAACTTTATTTAACTAACTATAATTAGTTTCATGACGCAACTCATTTCCTGCATTTTGTATCATATCGAGACGCGGATATACTCTTCTAAAAAAATACTACTGCCCACTGTGCAGTAGTGCTCAGTAGTATTTTTCTACAAGGGTTTAACATCCTAAAAGACATTTTTAGGACGTCCACAAGATAAAGATAGGATGAAATTTGGTTATCCAGAAACATCCTAATGATATCTGAACGATGATGTCCTATGGATGTAGAATAAGCGGACATTCGAACATCCTCAATATGTCCTAAATACCTCCTAAGTTTCTTCAGATACGTACTCAGGATGTTTTTGAAAATCCCTCGACATAGGTCTGTAGGATGTACCTAGGATCAATTTTTGCTATGTGGGTTAATATCAATTATATTATATTTATCAGTGAAAAATATACCTATGCTAAACATCTTTTTTATGTCGTTATTAGCAGGGAATGGAAGTAACTCGTTACTTGTAACGAAGTTACAGTTACAAGTTACTTTTTTGGTAACTTTACTAGTAACTGCGTTACTTTTTTTCTTT